AGATTGCAAAATAGTTGGGAAGAGATTTTTGACGTACCGATTCCATGGCATAGTGTTTATGAACTGATACGCAAAACAACGCCGGATTCATTTTTCAATTTCAATTATTATACCAAATTATTGCTACCAATAGAATGTTATTTATATGGGGGATACAATCTTCCCAGCTCTGCAGATTTTGCTGCGAAGAGACAGAATCATTAGATCATTTGTTTTGGTACTGTCCATTTGTAGCTTGTTTTTGGTCACAGGTCCAGGAATGGCTGAAGGATTGCAATATTTACCTGGAGCTAACCCTGCAGATAGCACTACTGGATGATCTGAAAAGTCATAGTCAATCAATCAATAATATAATAATACTTTTTGCCCCAAAAAATATTTTTCAATTTACAATCTGTAGAAACAATGAGAATAGAAGAGTTCAGAACGTTTGTGAAACATCACAGTACAGTTGAAAAATATATGCCAAATAGAAATCCAATATGGATGGTGTTAAGAGATAGATGGGAGGTGTTGAATGGAGCGGAAGGATGGGACTAATAACAACTAACAACAACTAATAACAACAAGATAACTAATGTAAAGCATACTGTGTCCATAATAAGTACAGTGGGGAAAAAAATAATTTAGTCAGCCACCAATTGTGCAAGTTCTCCCACTTAAAAAGATGAGAGAGGCCTGTAATTTTCATCATAGGTACACGTCAACTATGACAGACAAATTGAGATTTTTTTTCTCCAGAAAATCACATTGTAGGATTTTCAATGAATTTATTTGCAAATTATGGTGGAAAATAAGTATTTGGTCACCTACAAACAAGCAAGATTTCTGGCTCTCACAGACCTGTAACTTCTTCTTTAAGAGGCTCCTCTGTCCTCCACTCGTTACCTGTATTAATGGCACCTGTTTGAACTTGTTATCAGTATAAAAGACACCTGTCCACAACCTCAAACAGTCACACTCCAAACTCCACTATGGCCAAGACCAAAGAGCTGTCAAAGGACACCAGAAACAAAATTGTAGACCTGCACCAGGCTGGGAAGACTGAATCTGCAATAGGTAAGCAGCTTGGTTTGAAGAAATCAACTGTGGGAGCAATTATTCGGAAATGGAAGACATACAAGACCACTGATAATCTCCCTCGATCTGGGGCTCCACGCAAGATCTCACCCCGTGGGGTCAAAATTAGCACAAGAACGGTGAGCAAAAATCCCAGAACCACACGGGGGGACCTAGTGAATGACCTGCAGAGAGCTGGGACCAAAGTAACAAAGCCTACCATCAGTAACACACTACGCCGCCAGGGACTCAAATCCTGCAGTGCCAGACGTGTCCCCCTGCTTAAGCCAGTACATGTCCAGGCCCGTCTGAAGTTTGCTAGAGTGCATTTGGATGATCCAGAAGAGGATTGGGAGAATGTCATATGGTCAGATGAAACCAAAATTGAACTTTTTGGTAAATCTCAACTCGTCGTGTTTGGAGGACAAAGAATGCTGAGTTGTATCCAAAGAACACCATACCTACTGTGAAGCATGGGGGTGGAAACATCATGCTTTGGGGCTGTTTTTCTGCAAAGGGACCAGGACGACTGATCCGTGTAAAGGAAAGAATGAATGGGGCCATGTATCGTGAGATTTTGAGTGAAAACCTCCTTCCATCAGCAAGGGCATTGAAGATGAAACGTGGCTGGGTCTTTCAGCATGACAATGATCCCAAACACACCGCCCGGGCAACGAAGGAGTGGCTTCGTAAGAAGCATTTCAAGGTCCTGGAGTGGCCTAGCCAGTCTCCAGATCTCAACCCCATAGAAAATCTTTGGAGGGAGTTGAAAGTCCGTGTTGCCCAGCGACAGCCCCAAAACATCACTGCTCTAGAGGAGATCTGCATGGAGGAATGGGCCAAAATACCAGCAACAGTGTGTGAAAACCTTGTGAAGACTTACAGAAAACGTTTGACCTGTGTCATTGCCAACAAAGGGTATAAAACAAAGTATTGAGAAACTTTTGTTATTGACCAAATACTTATTTTCCACCATAATTTGCAAATAAATTCATTAAAAATCCTACAATGTGATTTTCAGGATTTTTTTTTCCTCATTTTGTCTGTCATAGTTGACGTGTACCTATGATGAAAATTACAGGCCTCTCTCATCTTTTTAAGTGGGAGAACTTGCACAATTGGTGGCTGACTAAATACTTTTTTCCCCCACTGTATATAGGTTGTAGGTTGAGAGCTTTTGTGAAAGAGCACAGTTAGAAAGATATGTCATATAGAAGACAACCGGATGGACATCATGAAAATGATCGGAGAGGTTGAGAGTAGAGGAAGTTCAGGAGAAAAAACAAACAAAATATAATTATTCTAAAATTGCCTGTGTCCATAAAATGTATATAGTATGTATAAGCTGGAAGTAGAGGCCTAAGCGTTGTTGTTCACTAGTTTACTCCAATTAGGGAAGGGGTGGTGGGGTTGGAAAGTAATAAAGGGAAATATATTTTTAAAAAAGGATATGTATGTATATGTATGTATGTATGTATGTATGTATGTACATGTATTTATGTGTACGTATATGCATTTATATGTATGTGTGTGTATATATATATATATATATATATATATATATATATATGCAAGATCAAAAACATATGGGGGATTGGAAGTGTTGCAGACAATTACATTGATGGAAGTTACAATCTATCTGCAGTATTAAAGCTGAGATATAATGTCACGCCCTGGCTCTGGGGACTCTTGTATGTTGAGCCAGGGTGTTAGTTTCTTTGTGTAGTGTCTATGTTTCGTTTCCTATGTTCTGTTCTAGGTTATGTGTTTCTATGTTGGCCGGGGTGGTTCTCAATCAGAGGCAACGAGAATCAGCTGTTGCTTGTTGTCTCTGATTGGGAACCATACTTAGGCAGCCTTTTGTGCACTTGTGATTCGTGGGATCTTGTTCCGTGTAGGTTTGTGTATGACCGAGGACTTCACGGTTCGTTTTGTTGTTTTGTATCGTGTTGCTAAGTACACTATTAAAGAGATGTACGCAAATCACGCTGCGGCTTGGTCCACTCATTATGACGATCGTGACATATAAAGAGAAGAAAGAAGAAGGAGAGTGATGGAGTGCTGCATCAGATGACCTGGCCTCCACAATCCCCCGACCTCAACCCAACTGAGATGGTTTGGGATGAGTCAGACGGCAGAGTGAAGGAAAAACAGTGTGGGAACTCCTTCAAGACTTTTGGAAAAGTATTCCAGGTGAAGCTGGTTGAGAGAATGCCAAGAGTGTGCAAAGCTGTCATCAAGGCAAAGGGTGGCTATTTGAAAAATCTTAAATATAAAATATATTTTGATTTGTTGAACACTTTTTTGGTTACTACATGATTCCATATGTGTTATTTCATAGTTTTGATGTCTTCACTATTATTCTACAATGTAGAAAACAGTAAAAATAAAGAAAAACTATTGTCAAACAGTCACACCCTCCTTCTTTCTCTCTGTCTACAGAAACTGTCTCTGGCCAGGCACCAGTAAAATCTGCTTGTCACGCCCTGGCTCTGGGGACTCTTATGTGTTGAGCCAGGGTGTGGAGTTTCTATGTGTTATTTTCTATGTTGTGTTCTGGTTCGTGTTTTCTATGTTGGCCGGGGTGGTTCCCAATCAGAGGCAGCTGATTCTCGTTGTCTCTGATTGGGAACCATTCTTGGGCAGCCTTTTGGCACTGGTTTATTGTGGGATCTTGTTCCGGAAGGTTTGTGTATTTAACCTAGGACTTCACGTATCGTTTATTGTTTTGGTTCGTTGTGTGTACACTAATAAAAGTATGTACGCCTATCACGCTGCGCCTTGGTCCGCTTCATCATATTATGACGATCGCGACACTGCTCCTGCCTTGCAAATCTGTTGAGCATGAATGCCACTCCTTCGTTGTCATAGGGATAAGGAAAACAGTGGTGGAATGATTGGTGTAATTTGAATAATTCTTTCCACTGAAAGTAAAACACAGAGAACAGTAGCATCCAGACTATTTGTAGGCAACAATGTACTTTTAGTTTGTTATTCTCATCAGGAAATGCATTAATGTTTTGGATTGAGAAGTGATAGTGATCGTTCTACTCTAAAAAAACATCCACAGTTGGGACATTGCTGATTTTATTCCTGTAACCAAAAGGAATGTAGTTAAGTCATTGTGTGTAAAAGTCACCATCCTACAGCACCCTTCCCACACTGGTTGAATCAATGTTGTTTCCACATCATTTCAATTAAATTACGTTGAACCAACGTGGAATAGACGTTGAATTGTCTGTGCCCATTGGGGGTCACACTGACTTAAGTCACAGTTGACAGGTGCTGAAAAGGCACCCATTTGAGCTATTTCAGATCCATGATAGCAAACATTTCTCTTTTCATCTGGGGAGGATACTCAAATAAGCTATTTTAGTTGTGGCGTCATTGGTAGAGGTAAAAGTGGTTTGTGTGTCCTGTATGGAGGATGGAACATTTCCAAACCTTTAAGTATTATTCTATTCAGTCAGTCTGATCTGTGTATTATTATTATTATTTTTTGTCATTTTAGCAGACGCTATTATCCAATGCATACATTTTTCAAACTGTACTGTACTGATAATGATGTAATTACAACATTATACTCAAGTTTTATGAGTTTGTTCTATTTAGCTTGGCACACATTCTGTATTTTTGAATATTATGTACCACAATAGCTACTGTATGTCTAGGGTAGCCTAGAAACACGATTGTGCAATGCTCAGGATGATTGTTTGTTCAGTGTGTCAATTTGTACTTGTTCTTATCAAAATAAACTTTAAATAAATACAAAATAATCTTACAAAACACTCATACCTATATGGAGTGAATTTTGTTTAATCTTCATAGATAACATAAGATATTGCATTGTAATTGTTTTTAGTCATTCCAATGATCTCTTTAGAGAATTAGCGTGTTTCTGCCTGTTGTGCGTGTGTCACAAATCGTGTCACCCATTTTCCATGATGGAACCAGTTTGGCCAGTGTTGAAGAGAAAAGGTAGAGGGAGGGACAGAGGATTGGATACCAGTGCCTGTAGTGTGAATGGAGTTCAGATTCAGGCGGAGCCACTGAAGCACAAGGAACGGACAGAGACTTACAAAGTTATAGAATCTCTCCTGTAGAAGTGACCCAGACCCCAGTGAGGCCACCTCAGACCCCCAGAGGGCCACAGTGACTGTAAGCCTCCAAACACACAGATGGAACAAGACCAGGTAGGTGGATTTACTCCATTCTATAACTCATCAGACATGTCCATTTGGTAACATTTACCTATTTACTTGGTAGGAAAAACTCTTAGGTTTGAAACAAAACATTGTCAGGTTTAGTTTTTACCTGATGTCCCTGCATGTTTGATATACACTACATCGCCTTCAAATTAGTGGATTCGGCTATTTCAGCCACACCCGTTGCTGACAGGTGTATAAAATCAAGCACACAGCCATGCAATCTCCATAGCCAAACATTGGCAGTAGAATGGCCTGTACTAAAGAGCTCAGTTACTTTTAACGTGGCACTGTCACATGATGCCACCTTTCCAACAGGTCAGCTCGTCAAATGTCTGCCCTGCTAGAGCTGCCCCAGTCAACTGTAAGCGCTGTTATTGTGAAGTGGAAACATCTAGGAGCAACAACAGCCACACATGCTCACAGAACGGGACCTCCGAGTGCTGAAGCACGTAGCGTGTAAAAATCGTCTGTCCTCGGTTGCAACACTCACTACCGAGTTCCAAACTGCCTCTGGAAGCAACATCATCACAATAACTGCTTGTCAGGAGCTAAATGAAATGGGTTTCCATGGCCGAGCAGCCACACACAATCCTAAGATCTACATGCGCAATGCCAAGCGTCGGCTGGTGTGGTGTAAAGCTCGCCGCCATTGGACTCTGGAGCAGTGGAAACGCGTTCTCTGGAGTGATGAATCAAGGTTCAACATCTGGCAGTCCGATAGGCGAATCTGGGTTTGGTGTATAACAGGAGAACACTACCTGCCCCAATACATAGTGCCAACTGTAAAGTTTGGTGGAGAAGGAATAATGGTCTGGGGCTGTTTTTCATGGTTCGGGCTAGGCCCCTTAGTTCAAGTGAAGGGAAATCTTAACGCTACAGCATACAGTGACATTCTAGACGGTTCTGTGCTTCCAACTTTGTGGCAACAGTTTGAGGAAGGCCCTTTCCTGTTTCAGCATGACAATGCCCCCGTGCACAAGGCGAGGTCCATACAGAAATGTTGTTTGTCGAGATCAGTGCGGAAGAACTTGACTGGCCTGCACAGAGCCCTGACGTCAACTCCATCAAACACCTTTGGGATGAATAGGAACGCCGACTGTGAGTCAGGCCTAATCGCCCAACATCAGTGCCCGACCTCACTAATGCTCTTGTGGCTTAATGGAAGCAAGTCCCCGCAGCAATGTTCCAACATCTAGTGGAAAGCCTTCCCAGAAGAGTGGAGACTGTTATAGCAGCAAAGAGGGGACCAACTCCATATCAATGGCCATGATTTTGGAATTAGATGTTCGACGAGCAGGTGTCCACATTCTTGTGGTCATGTAGTGGACATTTCTTATTTAAATGTGTGGTTAGTGGACAATTGAGGCATTTCCATTTGTATTTTATGGAATTGGATCCTGTCTTTCAATTGTTGCTAGCAAATTCAATTGTGTTTCACTGATCAGTAATTTGCCATTCTGGATTGGGTCCACTGAGTAGATTTTCTCTCACTAGGGTCAATGTATTGGTGCAATCACTTCTCAGCGTTGCCCACATTACTCATAGCAACACGTGACACTGATGGGTGTGTGTGTTAGAATATTTCGAAAAACATGTCATTCACTTATAAACACACCTCCCATATCAATGTTTGTCATATACCACACCTGTAGCCTACAGTTTTTGTTAATCAGTTGTGTTGTTTGAACTTGAGGAACTTTATCAGCAACATCAGATAAACATTTTATCAAAAGAGTAGGTTTCTTCCTCATCAAGAAGAGGAAACGATTTTAGGTAAACATTTCTGGTAACTGGCTTCAGACAATTGCTCATGAGAACTGAAACAATAAAATGACAATATTTCTATTAATAGCAGATAGATTTATAAGACATCAAATCAGTTGAGAAATAGGAACTATTAGTGATACAATGAAACTGGTGTCATAATAACAATTCTAAGAAACATTCAGCTATTTTTAGAGATAAGAACAAGTACATCCTTGGGGAACTTGTTTTCCTTCCTGGTGTTTAGCTGTTGACGTATCCAGACCTATAATCACATGTTGGGTCATGGGGCATACCTGTCTGTTTGTGATTGCCTAAGTGTCCATCAGGCATGTGAATAGCAAAAAAAACAAAGGAACCTCACTGAGGAGACACTGGAGGTCCACAGGACCATCCAGTCTAGTATGGTTTGGTAATGGATGCTCCTTTTTTTGTCCACTGTACAATATGTCCTGTTTTTATAGGTTTGATCAGTTGTGTCTGTATGTGTTAGGCTGGTGTAGGATTCAGACTAGAGCTAAGCTTCAGATATACATATCATATGCCTGCCTGTGTTTAGAAGTTGATCAGGTACATAGCCTACTAATGCCAATGAGAACCCACCTGACTCTCCTCGTCCTTCTCCCCTCAGAACAGTGACTGCCCACCCCCATACTACTCAGTAGTAGTGCCCACCCAGCCCCCTCCTCAATATGGAGACGTGGTGGGGGCCAGAGGGATGTCTGATCCCCCCTCCGAACCTTACTACATCCCCCAGCCTATGGCACATGTCGTCCATGTTTCCCAGGACGCCCGTAAGTTCCTAGTGTTCCCTTCTACTTCCTCAATCCTTGATAAACAGTACATTCCTTCCCCTATTTATTTCTATGAGAGGGCACCATCTCTCTCTCTCTCTCTCTCTCTCTCTCTCTCTCTCACTCTCTCTCTATCTATCTCTATCTATCTCTGTAATGCAAATCTCTCTTTCTATAACCCAAACATTTCTCTTTCTTAAGCCTTTTTGCCTCCCAACTTTAACAAACTCTAAACTGAAACATTTTCCTGGTCTCCCCTTGCAGCCCCTCGTCGTAAAAAGGGCCTATCATGTGGGAACAGATCCCGCTGTTTCGGAGGATCAGGAGGAACCACCCTACTGCTGGCTCTCCTCGCTATCGCTATCTGGCTGGGAGGTAACCCAACCAATTACTTATAGAGAACCCATACAGTACAACATTAAACTATATGGACATAATGTAATACAATATAACATAATGTAACATGGACATAATGTAACAATAAAATATATGCGAATTTATGACAATCATAAATTCCATATTTAGGGTATCATGTGAATGTAATATACAGGATATGATATTGCATTGTGTTGGTATGTATTAAGTATCACCATGGGGGCTTCCATGGCTCTGGATATCCTTTTACCAGTTCTCTTTGACCTATGACCTCTGTCTAGTGCGTTATGGCCCATCCCTGGTGTCTGGCTCCCTGAGCAGCAGTGAAGCCTATCGGCCCAGCGAGATGGAGAAAGACAGTTGCCCCTCCAACACCGTGGAGTGTGACGGTCGACAGGACTGCAAACTGGGAAGTGATGAGACCAATTGTGGTCAGTACCCCTGTCGCTACACCAATTTTTTTGGTCACAAACAAAAAGAGAAGCAACACACTGGGCACACCACGTCATTTCAACGTGGAAATGTGGGTAATATTTGGTTGAGACGTTGATCGATGAGATTTCAACCTTTATTCACCCACTCAGGCAGAAGTTTGTTGAATTCCCAATGTTATATCACTATGCTTTCAACCATCTAAAAGCACAACCAAATTCCAATGGAAATGTTTGGTTTAGTCAGATTTTAGGTTAAGTTGTCATCTAAATGTTTTATCACTGCGCTTTCAACAATTTAAAAGCACAGCAAAGTTCAAATGGGAATACCAGTCAGATATTTTGTATTTAAACAACAGACTAATGTGTTATCACTGTGCTTCATCAAATAGCACAACCAAATTACCTGGGTTGTAGTTGATCAATGCTGTTCAAGAATCTGCATAGATTAGTACAGCAATTGTGAAGATCTCCACAGAGCTGCAACATTTGCATGTTAGCGTGAACATGTATACTTTCTATGATCACATAAAAATACATTTATAGTTACAGTAGGCTAACCTCAAAATGTGGCCATGGATGTGTTACTCATTTTAAGGTTGAATAAATACTGTTACATTGATTTGTAAGATATTCTTAACTTTAGACCATTCTTAAAAAATATTATTCAATTGTGTTTGGTTGACAACGTGACCAAATATTAACATTTAAGGGATATCTAATGCTTGGATAGTTTCATCTGAGCCACTGGCTTAATCCTATTCTTTAACTTTTATTTTTGGTTTAGTTGGAGACGTGAATCCAACATATATTTGTTAACTTGTCGGCTATTTACTGTATTGCAAAAAGGATATTGAATTGTGTTTGGTTGTCAACAAATTCCAGTTTGTACAAATTAATAATTTATATGTTCGATTTATGTCTCCATCTCAACCAAGAATCAAAGTTAAAGAATAGGACTAAATCAAATCAAACTTTATTTAAAGTGCATTTCAAGTTTGATTTGATTTAGTACTATTCTTTAACTTAGATTTTTGGTTCAGATGGAGATGTGAATCCAACATATAAATTATTAATATGTAGACAAACTATAATTAAAGCCAGACTAAGTCAGTGGCACAGATGGAACTATCCAAATGTCGATATTTGGTTGCGTTGACAACTAAACACAATTCAATATCCAGTGTGTCTACAAATTACTAATTGATATGTTGGATTCACGTCGCTATTTCAAACAAAAATCAAAGTTAAAGAATAGGACTAAATCTAATCTAATCAAACTTTAAATGCACTTTGAATATTTTTTATTTTATTTAGACCTATTCTTTAACTTTGATTTTTGGTTGAGCTGGAGAAGTGAATCCAACATATTAATGATTAACTTGGAGATTACATTTGAAATCAACCAAAGCTTGAAACCCTAGGCCTATATGTATTGTCTATTTTTAGTTGAACCCTGGGTTGAATTGAAACAATAGCTGATGATGACTTTGCAAATGCTATTAAGGCCTACATAGTATCATTGATGATATTTGACTTATAAAGTATGGTTACATTTAATTTGTACTGTTAAATCTACTCTCTGGAATGACTTCGATAGCAACAGTGAATATAATCATTCTCAGGATAGCACATTGGTAGTAGTCAGTGATATACAAGCTAAGCTGGGCTTGGTTAAAACCCTGGATGGGAGACCAACTGAATAGCTGTATATGAACTCTCCAGTAGAAGGTGCTGCCCAGCCTCTGAAGGCACTGATATACAGTATATCAGTGCCTTCAGAAAGTATTCATACCCCTTGACTTATAATATTTTTTGTTGTTTTACAGGCTGAATTGAAAGTGGATTAAATCTATTTTCTCTCACCCATCTACACACAATACCCCATAATGACAAAGTGAAAACATATTTTTAGTAATTTTTGAAAAAAATTTGAAAATGAAATACAGAAATATCTAATTAATATAAGTATTCACACCCCTCACTCAATACATGTTAGAAGGTGAATTTGTCTCCCAGTGTCTGTTGGAAAGCAGACTGAAACAGGTTTTCCTTTAGGATTTTGCCTGTGCTTAGCTCCATTCCATTTATTTTTATCCTAAAAAACGTCCTAGTCCTTGCCGATGACAAGCATAACCATAACATGATGCAGCCACCACATTGCTTGAAAATATGAAGAGTGGTACTCAGTGATGTGTTGGGTTGGATTTGCCCCAAACATAACATATATTCAGGACGTAATGTTAATTTCTTTGCCACATTTTGCAGTTTTACTTTAGTGCCTTATTGCAAACAGGATGCATGTTTTGGAATATTTGTATTCTGTACAGGCTTCCTTCTTATCACTCTGTCATTTAGGTTAGTATTGTGGAGTAACACCAATGTTGTTTATCCATCCTCAGTTTTCGCCTATCACAGCCATTAAACTCTGTAACTGTTTTAAGGTCACCATTGACCTCATGGTGAAATCCCTGAGCGGTTTCCTTCCCCTCCGGCAACTGAATTAGGAAGGACATCTGTATCTTTATAGTGACTCTGTGTATTGATACACCACCCAAAGTGTAATTAATATCTTCACCATGCTCAAAGGGATATTTCATATATTTTTGTTTTACCCATCTACTAATAGGAGCCCTTCTTTGCGAGGCATTGGAAAACCTCCCTGGCCCTTGTGGTTGAATCTGTGTTTGGAATTCACTGCTCGACTGAGGGGTCTTACAGATAATTGTGTGTGTGGGGTACAGAGATGAGGTAGTCATTCAAAAATCATGTTAAAACACTATTATTGCCCACAGAGTGAGTCCACTTGTTAAGCACATTTTTAGTCCTAAACTTATTTAGGCTTGCTATAACAAAGGGGTTGAATAGTTCTTTTTCATTAAAAAAAAAATATTACAAATAGAAATCTACTTCGACATTATGGGGTATTGTGTCTAGGCCAGTGACACATCTCAATTTAATCTATTTTAAATTCAGGCTGTAACACAACAAAATGTGGAAAAAGTCAAGGAGTGTGAATACTTTCTGAAGGTAAAGTATATTGAAGACCTGATGTTGTTTCAAAGGTACAAATTCTACGTATTTTATACAAGGTTTGTCTATGTTGAAAAATGGTTACAATGATATAATCCTGTGGTTGAAATTTCCCCCTTAAAACAACAGTTTACATTGATGATTTCTTTTAAACCCTATGTATTTTCCACGTAGATTCCATTATGTTAAAACAACGTTGATTCAATCAGTTTGTGCCCAGCGGGAACCTTTCTAGATGTGTAATGGATTTGTAATGTTCTAACTGAGTGATGTATCTGTGTGATCCTGTGAGGTTCTAACTGCTAAGTGATTTATTTGTGTGGTTCAGTGATGTTCTAATTGAGTGATATATCTGTGTATCATCCAGTAAGGTTCAGGTCAAATGGGGCTCTCCAGGTGAAGACGAACGGCACTGGTAATTTCCTCCCTGTGTGTTACAGTGGCTGGAACAAGAGCCTGGCTGACCAGACCTGTGCTCAACTAGGCTTCAGAGTGTAAGATCTTCCCCTCTTTTGCTACCCTCTTGTGGTCGAAAGGCTGAACTGTGCAAACCTGTGCAACCATACAGTGAGGGGAAAAAAGTATTTGATCCCCTGCTAATTTTCTACGTTTGCCCACTGACAAAGACATGATCAGTCTATAATTTTAATGGTAGGTTTATTTGAACAGTGAGAGACAGAATGACAACAACAAATTCCAGAAAAACGCATGTAAAAAATGTTATGAGGGAAATAAGTATTTGACCCCTCTGCAAAACATGACTTAGTACTTGGTGGCAAAACCCTTGTTGGCAATCACAGAGGTTAGACGTTTCTTGTAGTTGGCCACCAGGTTTGCACACATCTCAGGAGGGATATTGTCCCACTCCTCTTTGCAGATCTTCTCCAAGTCATTAAGGTTTCGAGGCTGACGTTTGGCAACTCAAACCTTCAGCTCCCTCCACAGATTTTCTATGGGATTAAGGTCTGGAGACTGGCTAGGCCACTCCAGGACCTTATGTGCTTCTTCTTGAGCCACTCCTTTGTTGCCTTGGCCGTGTGTTTTGGGTCATCGTCATGCTGGAATACCCATCCACGACCCATTTTCAATGCCCTGGCTGATGGAAGGAGGTTCTCACTCAAGATTTGACGGTACATGGCACCGTCCATCGTCCCTTTGATGCGGTGAAGTTGTCCTGTCCCCTTAGCAGAAAAACAACCCCAAAGCATAATGTTTCCACCTCCATGTTTGACTGTGGGGATGGTGTTCTTGGGGTCATAGGCAGCATTCCTCCTCCTCCAAACACGGCGAGTTGAGTTGATGCCAAAGAGCTCCATTTTGGTCTCATCTGATCACAACACTTTCACCCAGTTCTCCTCTGAATCATTCAGATGTTCATTGGCAAACTTCAGACGGGCCTGTATATGTGCTTTCTTGAGCAGGGGGACCTTGCGGGCGCTGCAGGATTTCAGTCCTTCACGGCGTAGTGTGTTACCAATTGTTTTCTTGGTGACTATGGTCCCAGCTGCCTTGAGATAATTGACAAGATCCTCCCGTGTTGTTCTGGGCTGATTCCTCACCGTTCTCATGATCATTGCAACTCCACGAGGTGAGATCTTGCATGGAGCCCCAGGCCGAGGGAGATTGACAGTTATTTTGTGTTTCTTCCATTTGCGAATAATCACACCAACTGTTGTCACCTTCTCAGCAAGCTGCTTGGCGATGGTCTTGTAGCCCATTCCAGCCTTGTGTAGGTCTACGATCTTGTCCTTGACATCCTTGGAGAGCTCTTTGGTCTTGGCCATGGTGGAGAGTTTGGAATCTGATTGATTGATTGCTTCTGTGGACAGGTGTCTTTTATACAGGTAACAAACTGAGATTAGGAGCACTCCCTTTAAGAGTGTGTTCCTAATCTCAGCTCGCTACCTGTATAAAAGACACCTGGGAGCCAGAAATCTTTCTGATTGAGAGGGGGTCAAATACTTATTTCCCTCATTAAAATGCAAATCAATTTATAAAATTTTGACATACGTTTTTCTGGATTTTTTTGTTGTTATTCTGTCTCTCACTGTTCAAATAAACCTACCATTAAAATGATAGACTGATCATTTCTTTGTCAGTGGGCAAACGTACAAAATCAGCAGGGGATCAAATACTTTTTTCCCTCACTGTACCTATCATTGGGTTTAGTGGTGTTAGCTTGTGATGTCGGGACGTGTATATAAACTTCTCTCTGCATCTATTTATTTAGGAGTTATAACACTAGCAGTGTGAAAGATGAGTCCTCTACCACTCTCACTGTGGAAGTGAAGACCTCCAACACCATCCAGGGTAAGGTGTCAGTAAAGTAAGTACTTCTGGACACGCTCGTCAACAGCTCTTTGCATATTATGCAAAGTGCCATTTAAATGATTGCCCAAGAACAGGCTTAAACATTAAGAACACCTGCTCTTTCCATGACATAGACTGACCAGGTAAATCCAGGTGAAAGCTTATTGATGTCACCTGTTAAATCCATTTCAATCAGTGTAGATGAAGGGGAGGAGAAGTTAAAGAAGGATTTTTAAGCCTTAATACAATTGAGACATGGATTGTGTATGTGTGCAAGACAAAATATTTAAGTGCCTTTGAACGGGGTATGGTATTAGGTGCCAGGCGGAACGGTTTGTGTCAAGAACTGCAACGATCATGGGTTTTTCACGCTCAACAGTTTCCCATGTGTATCAAGAATGGTCCACCACCCAAATGACATCTAGCCAACTTGACACAACTGTGGGAAGCATTTGAGTCAACATGGGCCAGCATCCCTGTGGAACACTTTCGACACCTTGTAGAGTCCATGCCCCGACGAATTGAGGCTGTTCTGAGGGCAAAAGGGGGTGCAACTCAATATTAGGAAGGTGTTCTTAATGTTTGGTATACTCAGTTTTTTTTATATCAGACACTAAGTAAGCCTCTTCTTGGGCCATCAAATCAATGCTTATTGGTCACATACATGGGATACAGAGTGTAAAGGGTACAGTGAAATATTTACTTGCCAGCTCTCCTCAACAGTGCAGTACACAAATATTCACAAATAAGTATTAAAAAAGTAGTTAAGAAATGTGCAAAGTTGTAAATATATACACAATAAAAATAGACAATACAAACTATGAAATGTGTTAAAGTGAATTGTGACATGGTTGAGCATCTTAAAATAAATAGCATTAAATGGTAACAGCAATTATGACTGTGCATGTGTGTGGGTGTAAGAGTGTGTGAGTAGAGACCCCGCTAGCACATAACATTTTGAGAACCATATGTTTCTTAGAGTTTGGTGAGAGTGAGGTTGTCCTATGGTTATTTTGCATACAACCTTCTGGGAATGGTGCAGGATACCCAGCTAGCACATAACTTTCTGACAACCATATGTTTCTTAGGTGGGAATTTCAGTACTTCAGCATAACATTTTCTGCAGGTTTCCTCATGGTTCTATTTGAAGTCATGTCTCAGAACATTAAGAAAACGTTCCATAAAAACCACAAGAAAACATCAGTAATGTTCAAAGAACGTTCTAAGAATGCTATTTAAAAACATGCATTCCTTTCTTAATAATAATATGCCATTTAGCAGACACTTTTATCCAAAGCAACTTACAGTCATGTGTGCATACATTTTTACGTATGGGTGGTCCCGGGGATCGAACCCACTACCCTGGCGTTACAAGCGCCATGCTCTACCAATTGAGCTACAGAGGACCACTTTGTTTCTTTGTTTCTTAGCGTCAACAAAACTATTTTTATCATGTATCTTGTTGTGTGTTCAGGTGTGTTGGCCTTGCCCACTAATTGGCCACACCTGATCTTATTGAGCTTGTTTCCTTTAAAATCGGGTCTGTTTGAATAGACGAAAATGAACAGCTTTGTATGTGTTAAAAAAACATGACATGCTAGCTCCATCCCGGTGGCGCTAGTGGACTAATTCCACGGATAGGGAACTGAAGATCATATGTTCGAATCTCAATGACAATGTGGTACAATAAAACGCGAATGTGTTTGCATGATTAATGCCTAAGCAAATGAATTTCCATGTGTCCTATCTGTGCTTGGAGTTCAAAACAGTTAACTTAAGCTAGCAGTGTAATTAACAGTCTTATTGATACATGTTCTCAGAACGTTATTTAATTACCTTCAAATAACCTATAATTTCGGTCAGGGAACCTATGTCTTCATTCCCAGAACCAATAGGAATCCAAAAACGTATGTTCCTACAACTTCCAAGTAACCAAATGTGCTAGCTGGGGAGTCTGTTTAAATAGTATCTTGAGGTGCAGGTGGTAATCCGTGGCTGGGGTCTCTGGAGTCCTTGGCAATCTGCCGGGACTTTCTCATCATTCACCATGCCACTTTGCATATACTGTATGTTATGATAAGATACCAAATGTATCAAACAGAGCCAAGTATTTCACCATTAGATGGAGTAAGTGAGGAAGACAAATAAAACATGTGAACTCATTAGTGAACTGATATAAGTGTGAATTTCTTTCTGCGTTTTGTAGCACATCCTGCCCTAACAAGGACACTGTCTCCCTGCAGTGTATCAGTGAGTAACTGTCTTTACATTCTCGCAGTTAATGCACAAAGGCAACCAGTGGTCTTTCAAGGCTGGATAAAGATATTCATATAGCTCTCCTGATGAACAGAGGACCAAATACAAATCCCCATACCGTATTAGCACTATGGATCGACTTACTCCCTCTCTCTGTCCCCATGGTAGACTGTGGCCGGCAGCAGTTGTCCAGAATCATAGGGGGATCTGCAGCGAATCTGGGTGATTGGCCTTGGCAGGTCAGCCTCCACTTTCAGAACTCTCACACCTGCGGGGGCACACTGATCGCTCCTGACTTTGTGGTGACAGCAGCCCACTGCTTCCCCAGGTCAGTACAACAGACAACACCGCAGACAATGGACAAGGAACTGTGCTGAGACAATGTAAAGCAGAACAATAATGACATTATGAAACAGAACCTGAAACCTAACAAAGCTAAGACAAAAAATAATTGGGATATAACAGTGCAGAGACAGAACCAAAGACAGAACAGATTTGGAACTGCCTCCCGAGTGGCGCAGTAGTCTAAGGCACTGCATCGCAGTGCTAGCTGTGCCGCTAGAGCACCTGGTTCGAGTCCAGGCTATGTCGCAGCCGGCCGCGACCGGGAGACCCATGGGGCGGCGCAAAATTGGCCCAGCATCGTCCAGGTTAGGGGAGGGTTTGGCCGGCATGGGTAATCTTGTCCCTTTGCGCACTAGCGACTCCTGTGGCGGGCCGGGCGCAGTGCACGCTGCTTTCCTCTGACACATTGGTGCGGCTGGCTTCCGGGTTAAGCAGGCATTGTGTCAAGAAGCAGTGCGGCTCGGCTGGGTTGCGTTTCGGAGAACGCACTGCTCTCGACCTTCGCCTCTCCGGAGTTCGTACTACCAATTGGGGAGGAAAAGGGGTAAAAACAAAGAACTGAAGTGAGCTAGCTAAGACTGAGCAGTGCGTAGGCTGAACAGTGATCAGTGAAGACAGTGACCTAACAACTCTACTCTCTCTAGGAAGGACTCATCGTACCTGGTGCCCAATAACTGGCGTGTGTATATGGGCATGGTTTCTCAGAAGATGCTGCCTCGCCCTAATATGGTGGAGAAGATCATTGTCCATGAGCGCTATGATGACAATACCAACAACTATGACATCACCCTTCTCAAACTCACAAAGAGTGTAGACTACTCCAGTGAGTTCACCTTTAACCTAACAATATATTATATTATTATTTATACCACTATTAGCATCATAACAAACATTTCTATGTTTGTTATTTCAGACAACATCCAGCCTGTGTGTCTGCCTGCCTATGACAAGACATTTTCTCCTGGAACAAGATGTTGGACCTCTGGATTTGGGACAACAGCAGAGGGGGCAGGTGAGTGACACATGGTATGACAGTTCGGGGGCTGATTGGCATTGGGATGAACAAGCAGGAGGAAATATGATAGAAAACATGATGCAATCTGGTGTGATATTCTATATGGTTATGTGTTGTTTGCTTGCTGTTCAGCTAGTGGCTCCACTAATCTTATGGGGGTGACTGTGGACATCATTGACTCCAGCGTGTGTAACAGTAACACAGCGTACAATGGCCAGGTCTCTCAGAACATGTTCTGTGCTGGAGACATGAAGGGAGGCAAGGACTCCTGCCAGGTGAGTGGGACACTATGACCCATCAGGCAGTAGCTACTTCCACATAGCTTCTTACTTGAAGTCCACAAATCTTAAATGTGTCGCTCTCTTCCTCCTTCCCTTCTCTGTTGTTTCTTCTCTCCCTCTCCCTCTCCCCCTCCCCCTACCACTCCCCCTCCCCCTCCCACTCTCCCTCCCCTAGGGGGACAGTGGTGGTCCTCTGGTGTGTAAAGACTCAGACCAGCTCTGGTACCTGGCAGGGGTGACCAGCTGGGGGGTAGGCTGCGGCAGGAGAAACAGACCGGGGGTCTATAGTAATGTCAGCCGCCTGCTGCCCTGGGTCTACAGTAAGATGCAGGTAAAGAAAGGAGCTCTCAGGACCACTGGGAAGCGACATGCTCAGGCAGAAAACCTCAGCACCGAGGTGGGATTCAATCAATAATTAAGTTCATTTTCATCTGTACTGCTTCAGAGGGCACTCATATCCATTTTCATCTTTTACATACAGAATAATTTAGTCAAACCTTATAACTGGTTGTCAAAATCAAGATTGAGATAGGATGGTGTTATTAGTATGATGATCCTGAACATGTTCATTCACTCTCCACCTACCAGCAAGCAAGACCGTGATGTGACCACAGCTGCTGTCATCCAAGGACGCTCAGCATGGCTTTTGGACCTGACAATGAGATTGAGACTGGTGTGAAATCTACAACACTGGCAGGGAATGGAAGACTCTTCACTTTACGTGCCTTTAAGCCTGTATATGTTTTGTGTTTTGTATTTATTTATTGTCGTCAGTAGCTTGTAATAAATATTTTTCTATGTGATATCTGCTGTCTTATAATGTTGACCATGTAGACTAGGATCCATTTTTGCATGTGTTTGATCATTGTTTCCCTGAAACAGTGTTGAGCATATATTGTGCAATATTCTATGAGGAATGTATTTTACTCACACTGCAACCTCTTATAAATCTAATAACCTGTCTCTGGTTATACCCCAGGTTCACATAAACCTTACTGATGCGCCTGTTTTGTATTGTTGGGAGGGGGGGGGGGGGGGGATAACAGGTTCATCATCCATTTTAAAACCTGTACCCGTAGGCTGGCAGTTTTATGGACTTGTAGTTTCTTCAAAAGAAGAAAAACAACTGTAAGTAATACATACAGATTTTAATAATAAATAAATTCAGCATAAACAGGAAAATAAAACAGAAAAGAAGTGGGCCTCCACCCCCAACCTCCCATCCCATCCCATTCCCCCAACCCCATCAACATGTCTCCATTCAAAAAAGGGTCCGATCCTTAAGAGGTTAACCTGTCTCCTCCCCCATCTACACGGATTGATGTGGATTTAACAAGTGACATCAATAAGGGATCATAGCTTTCACCTGGATTCACCTGGCCAGTCTATGTCATGGAAAAAGCATAATGTTTTGTACACTCAGTGTATACATACGTGTGTATATATACAGTGGGAAGAACAAGTATTTGATACACTGCCGATTTTGCAGGTTTTCCTACTTACAAAGCATGTAGAGGTCTGTAATTTTTATCATAGGTACACTGACGGAATCTAAAACAAAAATCCATAAAATCACATTGTATGATTTTTAAGTAATTAATTTGCATTTTATTGCATGACATAAGTATTTGATCACCTACCAACCAGTAAGAATTCCGGCTCTCACAGACCTGTTGGTTTTTCTTTAAGAAGCCCTTCTGTTCTCCACTCATTACCTGTATTAACTGCACATGTTTGAACTCGTTACCTGTATAAAAGACACCTGTCCACACACTCAATCAAACAGACTCCAACCTCTCCACAATGGCCAAGACCAGAGAGCTGTGTAAGGACATCAGGGATAAAATTGTAGACCTGCACAAGGCTGGGATGGGCTACAGGACAATAGGCAAGCAGCTTGGTGAGAAGGCAACAACTGTTGGCGCAATTATTAGAAAATGGAAAAATTTCAAGATGACGGTCAATCACCCTCGGTCTGGGGCTCCATGCAAGATCTCACCTCGTGGGGCATCAATGATCATGAGGAAGGTGAGGGATCAGCCCAGAACTACACAGCAGTACCTGGTCAATGACCTGAAGAGAGCTGGGACCACAGTCTCAAAGAAAACCATTAGTAACACACTACGCCGTCATGGATTAAAATCCTGCAGCGCACGCAAGGTCCCCCTGCTCAAGCCAGCGCATGTCCAGGCCCGTCTGAAGTCTGCCAGTGACCATCTGGATGATCCAGAGGAGGAATGGGAGAAGGTCATGTGGTCTGATGAGACAAAAATAGAGCTTTTTGGTCTAAACTCCACTCACCGTGTTTGGAGGAAGAAGAAGGATGAGTACAACCCCAAGAACACCATCCCAACCGTGAAGCATGGAGGTGGAAACATCATTCTTTGGGGATGCTTTTCTGCAAAGGGGACAGGACGACTGCACCGTATTGAGGTGAGGATGGATGGGGCCATGTATCGCGAGATCTTGGCCAACAACCTCCTTCCCTCAGTAAGAGCATTGAAGATGGGTCGTGGCTAGGTCTTCCAGCATGACAACGACCTGAAACACACAGCCAGGGCAACTAAGGAGTGGCTCCATAAGAAGCATCTCAAGGTCCTGGAGTGGCCAAGCCAGTCTCCAGACCTGAACCCAATAGAACATCTTTGGAGGGAGCTGAAAGTCCGTATTGCCCAGCGACAGCCCCGAAACCTGAAGGATCTGGAGAAGGTCTGTATGGAGGAGTGGGCCAAAATCCCTGCCGCAGTGTGTGCAAACCTGGTCAAGACCTACAGGAAACGTATGATCTCTGTAATTGCAAACAAAGGTTTCTGTACCAAATATTAAGTTCTGCTTTTCTGATGTATCAAATACTTATGTCATGCAATAAAATGCAAATTAATTACTTAAAAATCATACAATGTGATTTTCTGGATTTTTGTTTTAGATTCCGTCTCTCACAGTTGAAGTGTACCTATGATAAAAAAATTACAGACCTCTACATGCTTTGTAAGTAGGAAAACCTGCAAAATGGGCAGTGTATCAAATACTTGTTCTCCCCACTGTATATACACAATTGAAGTCGGAAGTTTACATACACTTAAGTTGGAGTCATTAAAACTCGTTTTTTCAAACACTCCACAAATTTCTTGTTAACAAACTATAGTTTTGGCAAGTCGGTTAGGACATCTACTTTGTGCATGACACAAGTAATTTTTCCAACAATTGTTTACAGACAGATTATTTCACTTATAATTCACTGTATCACAATTCCAGTGGGTCAGAAGTTTACACACACTAAGTTGACTGTGCCTTTAAACAGCTTGGACAATTCCAGAAAATTATGTCATGGCTTTAGAAGCTTTTGATTGGCTAATTTACATAATTTGAGTCAATTGGATGTATTTTTACCTTTGGATGTATTTCAAGGCCTACCTTCAAACTCAGTACCTCTTTGCTTGACATCATGGGAAAATCAAAAGAAATCAGCCAAGACCTCAGAAAAAAAATTGTAGACCTCCACAAGTCTAGTTCATCCTTGGGAGCAATTTCCAAACGCCTGAAGGTACCACGTTCATCTGTACAAACAATAGTACACAAGTATAAACACCATGGGACAACGCAGCCGTCATACCACTCAGGAAGGAGACGCGTTCTGTCTCCTAGAATGAACGTTTCTTTGGTGGCGAAAAGTGCAAATCAATCCCAGAACAACAGCAAAGGACCTTGTGAAGATGTGGAAAAAACAGGTACAAAGTATCTATACCACAGTAAAACAAGTCCTATATGACATAACCTGAAAGGGCGCTCAGCAAGGAAGAAGCCACTGCCTCCAAAACCGCCATAAAAAGCCCAGACTACGGTTTGCAACTGCAATGGGGACAAAGATCGTACTTTTTGGGAGAAAAGTCCTTGGTCTATGAAACAAAATAAAATGTTTGGCCATAATGACACTTTTTTGGTGGAAAAAGGGGGGGAGGGGGGGGGAAAAAAAATTAGGGGGGTGGGTTTTAAAATTTATTAAAAAAAATATATGTTGAGGGAAAGGAATAAGAAAATTTTTAAAAAAGTAAAAGACGTTTTTTTTAAAAAATTAAATGAAATGTTTTGGAGCGATTTGTTTTTGAGTTTAGTCTTAGGGGGAAAATAATGTAAAAAACGAAAATAAAATATTGAATGGTTGGAAATAACTCAGGGGATGGCCATTAACTACTAAAATGTGATTTGGTCTCTGTTTTCCTGTCATATGAGGGAGGAACGAAGGGGACAGGAAAAAGGAGGAGGGGGGGAGGGGGGGATGGGAGTGCGTCACGTGCGGGGTGTGACGAGGCAAGAAGAAAGGGGAGAAAGATCAGACAGGCTATGGCAAAAAATCTTTTCCTAAACAAGATATGTGAGTTATGAAAAATTTGGGGCATCGGTTTGGGGCAAATACTTTTTCATTAAAAGTTGTTTTTTGGTGGCTTGTGTATCACTGGGGTTGATTACAGATGTGTTGGGAATCCGGGATGGATTGAGGATTTCTTCTGTAAATTTTTGAAATTGGGGTTTTTGAGAAAGGGGTTTTAAAGGCTTTTTTTGGGGGTATTTTAGTTGAAAATGACTAACTTGCATTTACTGGCAGTTGTGGGGTTGTGGTAAATTTTTTTCAAAAAAAGGGGAAAATTTTTTTGGGGGGCATAGGATATAGGAAATAAAAAATTTGGGTTTGGAAAATTATTGGATTTTTTTGGGTTGTTTGGTTTATTAAGAAAATTTCAGGGGGGAAGTATATATAACTTTTTCAGTCTAGAATAAAAATATTCACAAAAAAAAGGAAAAAAGGGGCTTTTTATATAGGGGGGAAAATGATTATAAATAATTTGTTTCAAAGTAGGGGGGAGTGTTTAAAGGGGGGGGGGACTAAGGCAGGAAGTTAGTTTAAAAACCCTTTTCTCAATACGGATTTAGAGGGGAAAAACATATCCAGGGCCCCCGGGGGGATTTTTGGCATCAAAAAAAGAGGGGAAAGAGCAGGGGAAAAAAAAAGAATTTTAAAGATGAAAGAAGAGGGAGAAAAGAGAGGGAAAGGAAAAGAGGGGATGATTGAATCAGGGGGAGGGGGGGGGGGAAAATTTTTTGGGCAGGGGAAGGAAAAGGGGATTTGTTAGAAAGGGGGAATGGAGAGAGGAAAGAAGATGGAGACTGAGTTTGTTCTTTTATAAAGGAAGTACAAGGGGGAAGGAAAGAAAGGGAAAATGGAAAGAAAAGAAAAAAGTCAGAAGGAGAAGATTAAGGGGGAAGGAAAGAAAAAAAGGAGGAAAGGGGGGGAAAGTGGGTTTAAAAGAAGGGGGGGGAAGAAAAAAAGAGAAAAAAAAAGAAGAAAAAACAAAAACCTTTAAGGGGGAAAAGAAAATTTAATGGTTTTAAAGGAAGGGGGAAAAAAGGACAACGCAGCCGTCATACCCCTCAGGAAGGAGACGCGGTCGGTCTCCTAGAAGATGAACGTACTTTGGTGCGAAAAGTGCAAATCAATCCCAGAACAACAAGCAAAGGACCTTGGGAAGATGCTGGAAAAAACAGGTACAAAAGTATCTATATCCAACAGTAAACAACCAAGTCCTATATCGACATAACTGAAAGGGCGCTCACGCAAGGAAGAAGCCACTGCTCCAAAACCGCCATAAAAAAAGCCAGACTACGGTTTGCAACTGCACATGGGGACCAAAGATCGTACTTTTTGGAGAATTGTCCTCTGGTCTGATGAAAACAAAAATAGAAACTGTTTGGCCATAATGACCATCGTTATGTTTGGTGGAAAAAAAGGGGGTTGCTTGCAAGCCGAAGAAACACCATCCCAACTGTGAAGCACGGGGGTGGCAGCATCATGTTGTGGGGGTGCTTTGCTGCAGGAGGGACTGGTGCACTTCACAAAATAGATGGCATCATGAGGAAGGAAAATTATGTGGATATATTGAAGCAACATCTCAAGACATCAGTCAGTAAGTTAAAGCTTGGTCGCAAATGGACAATGACCC